TTATTGTCTCTTTGAGTACTAGTTTTAAACCAAGTGTTGGTTAGAATGCCTCAAGTATATATATATATATATATATATATCTTTCAAAGTGTGTTTTTGTGAAGTTCTAGATGATTTCGATGTGATTTTTGTTCCAATTTCATTTTGGGGTTTTGTTACATCAAAATGAATACCTCAAAGGTTATTTCAAAGTTGGTTTTGTGCCATTTGAATTTAAATTGATTTTTTGTGAAATTTCAAAGTAGAGACTATCCTGCTGGAATTGTTTTGATTCTGCTGCATACCCTGTTTTGAAGTAAGTGTTTCAAAACTTCCTAAACTTGGATTTTCATTAAATTTTAGTATGTTTTACTTTCTCATATTTTCTTCATATCTGGAAATTTTTATCCAGTTTGGTTGTAAATTGTAATTTTGGTGATTTTTCAAAATAAAGTGTACAAACCTGAAAAAAAAAAAAAAAAAAAAAAGAAGAACGTTATGCAGCCTAGTCTGTTTTGGTTTCTATTTTGACATGCTTCCTTAACCCTAATTTTTATCAAATTTTGAAATCTTTAACGTTTCTATGTCTAGTTGTGATCTGGAAAGTTTTACATTATTTTGATTTAAACTCAATATTTAGTGAATTTTCAAAGTTAACGTGTTCCAACCCAAATGTTTAGCAAAACTGAAATTTTAGTTTTAAATTGATGTTTTAAATTTTCTTTATGAGTCTAGAGCCGAACCACCTGATTTTAAACATCCCAAAGAGTAGAATTTTTATAGGAGGGGAATAGATTAGTTTTTTCTGAACGCTTAGTTCTATGCTTGCTTGGATGTGAGGTTAAAGGAGTAACAATCGGGTCAAACAACTTGTCAAGTGTTTTGTGGGGTTTTAGGACTGCGTGAGCTACTACTCAAACTTGTTTCTTTATTTCCAATAAATTTTAATCAGTAAATTATCTTAATTAGGTGTTCTACTCTGCGTACTTTCGAGGACGAAACCGCACAAGGTTAAGCTAGCTGGACTTGAGGTAGGGTTTCCTGATTTCCCAATGATTGGGCTATGTCACTTTTAATCTTGGTGCTTATATATAGTATTATAAATATGAATATTATTTGATGTTATGGGAATGTTATTGTTGATGTTTTTCCTTGAATATTATTGTTGCTTTGCTCGATGAATATTATTTGATGTTACGTAAACATTATTATTGAGGTTTTTCCGTGAATATTATTTGATGCTATGTAAATATTATTATTGATGTTTTTTCCATGGATATTATTGGATGTTTTGTGAATATTATTATTCATGTGATTAAGCCTAATATATTATTGTTATTATCTGTGGCATTATTTAGCAGAAATAAATGATGTTTGTGCTGCACTACATATGCACAGAAATACAGTGGTGTTTTGGAGTGTGTGTGTGTGTGTGTGTGTCGTTTCAGATATATCTAAGGGGTGGGAGAATGCTTTAGATATATCTGAATAAAATGTGGAATATATTCAGGTGACGTGAGCAGAGCTTGAATATATTGAGGTGATGGGAGCAGGGCCTCTAATGATAAGTGAAAGTTGAGAAATTCGTAAACAAAAGAAAAAATGGGATAAGGACTAGTTCATATTTTAGGGTATTCGAAGCCACAGTGGTAAAACGCATGGTATGGGACATGCAGGCTTGTTTCCCTAGGATATGAATTAGTGGGATTAGAAGGGAGTGAGTTCATGGCATCACCACATATGCAAATTTATTTATCTGTTATGATTGCATAATTTGTATATCTTGTGTTGTTGATGCATGACACTTCGATTAACTGTGATAGCTGACTTTGGGGGGTTTGACGGTACTTTACTGGGCATTAGAATGCTCATACCCTAATAGATTGTGCAGGATTAAAGAAGAAGTTTGAGGAAGCGGGTTCAACTAAGCTGCTGGGCTTTTATTGTTGATTTATATAATTAATATTTGTAAGTAGTCAACCGTTTGTTAAAGATCTTAGTGTGTAGTTAATTACAAGCTACTGGGACTCTGATTTTGTAATGTTAAGTAAATTTGTATTTTTTTTGTGGCTCTATTTCTCATCATATCATGGTTGTAGGATTTTATTCTTATGACTATGGTATGACTCACGCCATGATTCGGGAATATTCTTTATTTTCGAATCGGGTCGTGACAAAGTTCAAGTTAATTACATAGGGACAGTTTTTTTTTTTTTTTATCAAATAGAAAGATTCATTCAACCGTAGCACCAACCAAAGATAAAGTTTACAAACGAACGGAAAGCGTTAGTGTGGCCTCATTAAAACCTTGCCATCCAAAACCCCAATGGGGAAAATCCGGTCAAGGAAAAAGAGTACCACCGCATCTCAAAAAAAAAACAATGAATTACACCATAGCTATATCCTTATCTAAAAGAATGCTTAACCATGGAGGAGCACGGTATTTCCAAAAAAGTCGAGATCTCACTCTCAACCCATGCTGAGCTAGACTATGTGCCACCCCATTACCCTGCCGGTGTTGGTAGAACACTCCAGCCACCTCTCGATCAACCATTAACCGACGAACATCCTCCACCACATTACCAATATTACTCCACCAATCCAAATCATCTTTAAGAATAGAAACAGCTTCTTGAGAATCAAGACCAATGGTAAACCGAGTAAAACA